AATATTCGGGGACCGAATTATCGACTCTTGTATGAAGCACCGGCCATCTCTGGTGAGCCGCGCCTATCCCGAGTGGGTCTCCTCCATTTGATCTGGCAACCCTTTGCTGACCTTAATCCACTTTTTCCCATTTTGGAGCTGCTTTGTAGCCGAATTAAGATACAAAAGGCTAGCAACGAAGGGAGTACTTTCGCGGCACTAGCTCGCACTCAAACACTTCTGGGACACATACTGGAAGAGAAATTTACGCACAATCTCATAAGAACTTGTCAGCGTCAAACCTCACCGTTGATTGTTGTGTTCAACCGCTTCGTGCTGCGTGGCCGCTCAAAACGAAACTGTTTTCATTTTGAGCGGCCACGCGTGACATATCGCTCGTATCGTTGCGGTATGCTGAGAGGGACTCACCAAAAACGCCACCCCCCCCCTCGCTCCCCCCCCCCAACCATATGGTGCACTGACTAAGGTTGACCTTGTGCACTTGTTTAAAATGGTTTTCTCATGATGTATAACACATACGTGGAGCACTGAATCAAATTTCATTTCTCCCAAGACACCATAAAAGAAGTGGGAAAGAAATTGTTAGTAATTTTCATTTAGCATTTTCAGCAACTTACATTGTCAACACTTACTTACACTGCCAAGTACTCGAAGCAACGACCAGTAGCCTATTGTATATGTTGTATGCTTCACATTGAAAACGACTTGAAATGTAACACAAACGTTGTCTCACCTACGGCTAGTGATTGAAAGAGCCTCAAAGTTAGTTGAATTGTAAAGGTGAGGAGAGGTGACGGCGGAGGGATGATCCTTCAGCATGACCTGCGTTAGCACAGCTCATTAAAAGTTTATGAATCAACTCCTACTGGTTCCAAAGACTGACACATTTTCTTTTTGTCCACTTTTCTCTGGGCTTCTTGGGTCTGTGTGGATACAGCTTCGCTGCACGCCGTATGAAAGTGTCCACCGTCTGCATATAGTTTATGAGTCAAACCTTCCCGACTATTTGTGTCGTCCCCGTGATCAATGAGCTGCTTGATAGGACACCCGCAGTAGCCTCACTACTTCCTGTTGCTAACCAATGGCTGTTTCATCTTGTTGTTACTCCTTTGTTGCCCTGTTTAGGCCCACACTTTGGTTCACTGCCAGAAACCAAATTATCGTGGCCTTTGACTTTAAGCGAATTCGGAGTGCTATAGCGCCACAGTAGTGGGTTTCCGAAAAGTTCGGAATACTGCACAACAACCCCATAACGGGAAAATTCTTGAAATTGTAATCTGTGGTAAGAGAAAGGAGGAGTCTTCCAGATGCCAACGCCGCGTTTGGTTTCGCAGGTGGTCGCGTATGAAAAAAGTTGTGGTTGGTCAAAGCATACTTCGAAGAGATTTGCGATCATTGGGAGAAAGGTTACTCGCGCATTTTCTGACCTACTTGTGGGATCTCGCGAGATAGCTCAAGTGGAACTGCAGACCAGCGTGCGTTACCGCGAGTTCAAATCTAAGGTCCTTTTTCATCATGGTAAGTAAAAGTACCTCCATTCACCAGACTGATTGCATGCTACAGCTGCGCACTGCACACCATAGAAACTTCACGGCTTATTTCACTGTGGATTTCACTTCTAATGCGTTGTCGGGAGAAGTTCCACTCATCTGTTCCACATAAGTCGAAACATCGTAAACTGTTACTACAGTACTTGCAGTGAGGAGAGATTATGCTCAGGTATCCGTATATGTCTCCATATGTCTCCCTCTTTAGTATGGTATACAGCTAATCGAGATTACACTGGGATGGGAAGGAACTTCTGTACCACCTTAAGGAATTCCCTTGTTCAACGCTCTGAATGCATAGTCCCTCGCAACTATCCGGGTCCGTGATTCCCAAGTTTAGGGTGCATTCATTGCGCACTATACCCATAGTCTCGATTATCAGCAAAGACGTTCGGGGTGCATATCCCACAAACAGCGCAAATGTCTGGGTGATGTTGGTTCAGATTTTTCTTCACCTTGCGCAATGAAAAAATTACGTGGGATATGGAGAAAGGTCTCAGGGCGTTGCTGGTAGGGCTGCAATGAAGCGCTGCTGGAAAACGGTACAACTGTTACGACAGCACAGTCTACTCTAATGGACTGCAAAAGATGGCTGACGCCACGTGCCAATTTTGTCCGAAAAGGCCGAATATCTTCCTACTTCACGATGACTAGCGTGCGCATGTAGCGCAGGTGGCATACAAAAAAATTCTGGATCTCGGTTGGGATTCACGAGTATACTCAGCTTGATCACTAGTCCTAGCGCGTTCTGGCTACCACTTACCTATGGCACTAATGCATCATTTGGAAAATAAGAAAACTGTTAATTGACGTCATGTGGAAGGTGAGACTGCGATTTTTGCCATAGTAGCCGCCGGAATTTTGGAAGATGAAAACGAAAAGTTGCCAGACACATGGAAACTTGTTCGGGTACCCATAGACTTTGCTTGTTGTCAGAAGTTCTCGGTCTTCGAAAGAATATCCAATTCAAAATTGCCTTTCACTTGTTCCAAAACTTCTGCTTCCTACCTCTCACGCATATCTACGAAAGTGTTTAAGACGTCTGAATCTAGTGCAGGTCTCAACTACATTATTGTATTAGAGTCCTCAGTCTCAACTGTATTAGGGTCCATTAACAACTTCATCAATGTTGGCTCAAAACACATACCTTGCACCCTTTCTCTCCTGAGCTCCATCTCCTCTTCCTCAGTCGTTGAGGATTGAGGAGCCTTCATCCTCTTGCACGTCTTTATTTGGGAGATGAAATGGAGGATTGACCCCCTTGCAGATCGTATTTAAAACTAATTACTTCACTCGGATCTGGCGGAAGCAAAAAAAGACCATACCAGCGTTGGAGCAAAGGGGTTAAAAAAAGTACAAGAGCTAAAGGACTCAGGAAGCGCGAGGATATGCCTTGGGCCGGACCCATCACGGATAACCGTTCACCAGAACGGGTTACGACCGGTTCCCACGGGACGTCAAACGAACAACAGGACGACAGATAGCTTGATTATCAGAATTTTTCATGAGAATTGTGAAAAGTGGAAACTTAAATGTGTCCCTCGAGCAGCGAAAACACTCACAAGACTACTCTGGCTAGCATCGGGAAGTAGTGCGGTCATTACGGGTGCCCTATCGGGCAGTTCGTCGATCAAGGGAACGAAAGGAGTAGTCGAGAAGTTTGACCCATGAGCTATATGCAAATGACGGACCTCAAACAGCATACAGCGAAGCTATATCCGACATAGGAAAACCATAAGAAAAGTGGATTGAAAGAAAATAAATGTGTCAGTCTTTGGAACCAGTAGGAGTTGATTCACAAACGTTTAATAAGCTGTGCTAACGCAGATCATGCTAGTAAGTGGACCATCCCTCCGCCGCCAGCTCTCCTCACCTTGACGATTCAAGTAACTTTGGGGCTCTTTCAACCACTAGGTGTAGGTACGACAACATTTGTGTTACATTAAGTCGCTTTCAATGTGTAGCATACAACATATACAATGGGCTACTAGTCGATGCTTCGAGTACTTGGCAGTGTAAGTAGGTAAGTGTTGACAATATAAGTTGTTGAAAATACTTTACTAAAAATTTCTTTCTCACTTCTCTTTTCTAGTGTCTTGGGAGAAATGAAATTTGATTTAGTGGTCCATGTCTGTGTCCACACCATGCAGAAAACAATTTTACAAGCGCACGAGGTCGACGATAGTCAGTGTACCAAACTGGGTGCGGAGGGGGGGGGGGAGGAGGGAGGGGAAGCGGTTGGCGTATGGGTGCGGAGGTGGGGGGAGGAGGGGAAGTGGTTGGCGTTTTGATGAATCTCTCTCAGCATCCGGGCAATGATACGAGCGATATGTCACGCACGCGTGGCCGCTAAAATGGAAACAGTTCCGTTTTGAGCGGCTACGCAGCACGAAGCGATTGAACGTGACAATAAACGGTCAAGGTATGGCGCTGAAGAGCTCTTGTGAAATTTGTCGTGTGGATCCCCGAACCGCAATGTGAATATAATTCTTTGAACATTATTTATAAAGGTGCTCCAAGCCTAAAATGTTGTTCATAGAGTAAAATTTGGCTGAGCAACCCCAGTGCAGAGGATGCTCCACATTGCGACCGACAAATGCTACTGGTAAGATCAATGCTGTCTGCTCGCAGATCTTTACTGACTGTGTGTGCTCACTATGTCTTGTTCCACATCAACGATCGCTACTGAATATTCCACGACTTCTTTACTCGCCAATTGCCCCGGATTCCTATGATTCTGCCACCCCTCAGATTGCAATTGAACGTGACGCAATGGATCTCCTGCAGAAGAACACAGTTCGTAGCAGTCAAATAGTGAGACAAAAGGTTTCCATATTCTGAAGCGTTAACTAAGTTACTCCGCTGTAGGTTGTGTCATACCGCCGTGCGTACTAAATCTCTCACTTTCACGGTCGCATATTGTTTGTTCTGTGACAATGTTGTTATGCTGTAATGATGTTTTAATGTTGCTTCCTTGTTTTTTTTATTGTTAAGAAGTTGTATGTTATCACGATTCAAGCACAAGGTCCACGATTAATCGATAGGTGATTTCCCGCAAAAAAAACGCAGAAACTCATGCTAACGGCGAGCGCGCGGCCTCTGACCGCCACTTCCGAACCCGCTTCTCCGAACAGAAACGCAGGCTCCGGCCACACCTAGTTTAGTCTTCAATCTTCTGGTGCCTGGCAGACATGAATAAAGATATCAGTCGAGTCCTCGAGCTCACCTATACAGACGCAAAAGTCGTCAAACCAGAAGTACCTTAGCTCGACTTTGGTCAAGTACCTCTTCTCTTGCAATCACGTGCTTGATCCCAGGGGAGGGGGGGGGAGGTCGTGGAGTGGAAGGAAAAAGGGTAAACGCCATCATTCTGTATACCTGGGCGCCGTTATCAATTAACCAGCATCAAGTATGCCTCAGCTTGAAGGAAGAGCTGATGCGGCAACAGCATAACTATGGAACAACTAACTTGGACCCATTTTTCATAATGACCATCCATATTTCATCAATATCGGCTAATACTTGTTCCCACTGATGTAAGTGGAAATGAACTGTTGCTAGGAAATATAGTGCTTGGATGTGGGCGATGAAGCCATCTTCTAACAGCCGAATAGCTGAATAATCATACTTAATACACAGGTACGGAAGTGAGGAAAACCTTTGAAAGACCTCGTTGTGCATGTTCCGCAGCCATGTCGTAGTGACGTTTACAATTACCAAGGAGTTTCGCGGCTTCCAGTGAAGTGAAACCTAAAAAGCGAGTCGAATCAGAACAATGATATGTCAAAACCCCTAGAAACAGTACCCATTTTGATGAAAACTACTGGGCTTCTGGTTATACTTTATACGCCAGCAAATCTGGGAAAGTGGGAAGAATATGGGAAGCGCGGTGTGAAGTTGTTGCACACGCAGCGCGCCACACAGAAATAAAACGAGGCATTTGGAAAGAGTCGGTCAAGCCTGACACGTCGCATGTGAGGCCACATGCTCAAAATAGCACACCGAGATGGAGTCCATCATTGTAACTGGTTGGACGTAGTGAACCGCCATAGGCCATGCATATGGTCAGCGAGCTGTACATTAAGAGGCTATGTGGATAAAAGTGCAAGGCACTAGTAAGAGAATTGATTGACTGATGATGAAGAGAACTGGACAATCAAAGAATTCGTAAGCGTGCTGTCGACAATCGCGTTTACAAGAACGCGCCGGGTGGGACATGGCGTTTTTTCGTTGAGCCGGCGGCGACTCACAACCGGGCACCACTTTTTTCGCTCACGGAATTTTCGGCAGACATCAACCTTTTTAGCGCGGAGTGTTATTCCTAATATTCTCAATCATACCAGACGCCACCGCAACCTGCGCTCCTCCCCCCCCCCACCCCACAACAAGCCTTTTTCAAGAGCGACACTATCATACCTGCTATTTTCAACACTACTACCTTATATGGAACCGAGGTAAGGAGCGTTGGTCAAGTTCTCAGATGAGACAGAAGCCGGGAATTAGTTGATGATCCAAGGATACGAACACAGATGGACGCGGCGAAGCTTCGCATGCCTGGCAAATCTATGCAGTATCACAGGAAAAGGCCTGCCGGCGTCAGCTGGCGAGCCGACTGGTATCAAGTGTACCTACCACGACTGATGGTCAATGACCTCGTGCTTGAGGGCGCGCTAAGCCCTCTACGGGCGGGTCTCAGCACCCCACAGACACACTAAACTCCTATGCTAACTCGTATGCTACTCCTCTACAGCCATTTTCTCTAATCTCCACAGTCACAAGTGCGAGTTATGAAATTTCGCAGCAATTAGTTCCCCATCTCGAATACTGACCGCTCATTTTGAGGATGTCTCCCCCACTTCGTCCACTAACCCCTTGTGGAACCTTCCTTTTGTCGCCGGTGCCTATGCTGCTGCGAAACCGACTCGTGAATTTCCTCATAGATCATCCCATTCAAAAAAAGGGTGGGCTATTGAAATAAAAGGAAGACGAAAACAGATAAAGAACATTATTTTGGCTTGAAGTTAATTAGATCCCTCTTTTAACAATGACTAATTCCGAAACGTCATAGCGTTTGCCACTGGACAGTAGCTTCGACTGACCAGAACAGGTAGCACAGCTGTATGTCGAGAGAATAAGGCGATTGCACCCAGGTCGGAGTTGGACGTCATCGGAGGTCCACCGGGTGGAGGTTGGAAATCTGTGCAATGATTGAAGCCGTCAAGTACAGGGGGGGGACCAAAAAAAAGTCATTCCGGCCGAGTCACATATGAGCGAAGTTTTCGCAGCCCAGACAGAGGAAGTGGATATGAGTACCAGGGCCGAAGATACCCAAGATCTTCCTCTATAAGCAAGAGCCGGCTGTCGCTATTCAGCTTCATGTACACCAAAATATGAAGTCATCTCCAGTCGCGGCCTGAGTGGAGAAAGCCTTTAGGAATTCACGTGGCCTCCAAACACTGCGGAAACTTCGTTGAAGAATCACCCATGGATAGCTACCTGGGTAGACCAGTTACTCTTGATCTGCAAGACCGCAAACATCGGGAGCAGCTCCGGCAACGTCGGCATCGGCGGTCCAGACGACATCATTCTTGCACCACCATTCACCAAGGCGCGGGTTGATGGGGGACCGGCCGTACCTGGCGAATGAGAAGACCGGATATTTTCTTTGTAGACCCCGACTGAAGGTGATGCGCCGGCGGTTACATCAAGTAACTCGAGAAGGATATCCTCCCTACATGTGGTCGCCCGTACCTTCTTTGGCAGACTTGTGTTGCTACAGGTTTGGCGGTGCCACCACATGGAATTAGAGGTTTTTTGGAAAACTCCCGCCTTACTTCGAATGGAAGGGCGTTTCGTACCTGATGAAGATGTAATATTGAAATATGTCCCCCTGACCTGAACCCACTCATTACCTAGTTCGGGCGGAGCTCACAGGGTGGTCTACAGTGGCGGAGAAATCAACGATCTCGCTCAACTCCGGTACCCACTCACTTTCGCGCGGCCGAATCTCTCCATGCGCTCCTCCAGAAAGCTGTGGCGGAGTATCATTATAGTATTTAATGTGCTCTTTAATATAGTAGTAAAAATGTATGGTAAAAACTTAATAAAGTGTAACTTATAGCGCCTTGAAAGTCATGGAGGCAAAATGACTTTTTTTTGGCCCCCCCCCCCGTATATGTACAAGTACGTGTACAAAGGGCCTGACCGAGCTGCATTGCGCATGACGCGGCAGGCGGAGGATGCTGGAGACAGAATGGTCAACGAACCTGATGAATTCGTCAACGCAAGATATGTCTGTGCTCCCGAAGCTGCACACAGACTCCTTGGATTTGAGCTTCAGTCCAAGTCCGACACAGTTTACAGACTGCAGGTTCATTTACCAGATTATCAGGCTGTCACTTTCCAAGGAGGTAGAGAGGAAGAAGCACTTCGTCAAGCAGCCGAAAGAGACACCACCCTTACTGCTTTTTTCAAGCTCAATGAAGAGTACGAATCTTTGTATGGGGGAGATGGAGTGCCGCAAGGAGGACACGATGCTCGCACACTGCTTTACGTGCAGGTACCAAAGATCTTCTCATTTGACCAACAAGCGAGGAAGTGGAAGCCAAGAAGGAGACACAGTCGTCAAACCGGGAGGATGTACACAGCCAGTCCTCTTGACGTAGAACGCTTCAGCCTTCGAATCCTTTTGTTGAACAGGAGGGGTCCCAAATCGTTCAACGATTTGAAGATTGTCGATGGAATTTTCCATAATACGTTCAAGGAAGCAGCCAAGGCACTCGGGCTAATGAACGACGACTCTCATTTTAAAAGCTGCCTGAGCGATGCATCGCAGCTCCATATGCCAGCTCAACTTCGTTCCCTGTTCAGTAGCCTTTGCTTTTGCACTGCTTGTGTGAACAGCTGTGGGACATCAAGAGAGCCATGGCGAAGAACTACACCCATCGTGGCGCAAATAATGAAGAAGCTGTTGTTCGTGCTTACTTCGATGTTATGGATAGGATAATGATTTGCGGAGTTAACTTGAGGAGCTCAACTAGACCTCGTTCTGATCAGTGCAAATCAGCGACGAAGCATTCACAGTGAGCACGTGACTCATGGAGAACAATTGATGGAACAGCTAAACGATCATCAGAGAGCTGCGGGGGACAACATAATGAGAACTGTAAATTGCGAAGACAATCAGCACTTCTTCATAGACGGTTCTGGTAGCAGTGGAAAAACTTTCCTGTATACTGCTTTGTACCATACTTTGCTTGGAATTAGGAAGAATGTTATCTGCGTTGCCTGGACTGGAATAGCTGCTAACCTGCTGCCTAAAGGAAGAACGGCTAGCAGCATGTTCAAACTTAACATTCACGATAATAACAGAACATCTACGATGAAGAGAGAATCTGCAGAAGCGAGAGCTCTTCGTGACGTTTCTGTCATATTCTGGGATGAAATATCGATGGTGCCGAAGTGGACTCTAGAAGCTGTAGATTCCCTGCTGAAGGAAATTATGCAAAATGCCCTCCCGTTTGGAGGAAAGCAGATGTTCGTTGGAGGAGACTTCCCTCAAGTCCTTCCAGTCGTAGAGAGGGACAACAAGAAGATTTAGAAAGCGCTTGCGTTAAAAGTTCCTATTTGTGGCAGCATTTCGTCACGTTTCCCCTGTCAGCGAATATGGGGGCTTCTCCAGAAAGCGCAGGACGGGCGAGAATGCGATTGCGAATTGGCAGTGGAACTTACCCAGAGGAGGAGAGCGGTTTCATCAAACTGCCAGGAAATTCGAAGTAATAGAGACCTAATAACAAAGATCATTGGCGAGAAAATTGGCGTTGATGACGTCGCAGATCTCGTGGAAGAAGCCATCTTCGCTCCGAAGAATATACATGTTGCTCACCTAAACGAATTAGCCCTCTAGCGGATGTCAGAGCGGTTGGAAGTGAAGGTGTACAAAAGTGTGGACGAGGCAGAGTACGTAGACCCAGAAGAAGCTCTCAACTATTAGACTGAATTCCTAAACAGGTTGAGCCCAAGTGGAATGCCTCTTCATGACCCCAGGTTGAAGAAGGCTGTATCATAATGCTTCTGCGGAATCTCGACGTCTCCAGGGGGCCAATGCAAAGGAATCAGCCTCATTGTCACCACTTCGGCCGACTTGTTCTCGGATGCCGCTTCGCCACAGGGAGCAGAAAGAATCAGTACGTGCTTTTCCCTCGGATCGATAACTACACCGAGGACTGCCAATCCGCCTCAAAAGACGTCAATTTCCTATATGTCTCGCCTTCGCCACTACCATCAGTAAGGCTCAAGGGCAAACACTCGCAAAATTGGGGGTGACTGACTGACACTCCTCACTGCACGACGTCTTTTCTCATGGCCAACTCTACGTTGCATTATCGAGGGTGCGCAGCTCTGCATCGCTCAAAGTTTTGTCACCTCGGGAAATGGTCAGGAACATCCTGTATAAAAGTGTTTCATAAGTTTTGCGATATCTATACGTACAATGCTAACTTCACTATAATCGTTGCATTATGAAAAAATTTGTTGGCTGACTATTTTGGGTTTCCATTTGAAAAGCGAAAACTCTGGCTTACAAAACTAGATTTTTAAATGTCATTACCAGAAAATAGAACGCACCTGAACCTACGATAATTGCTTAGCCTAACCAAGGTTTTCGATGGTGGTGAGCATTTTTTTCAGAGTACTCACTTTATTGCTGACACTACTTACTTATTCACAGAGAGAATATAAAGTTGGTCATGGAAAAAATCTTTTTGAGCCGTACATAGTTACAGCGCCTGAACGGGACCTGTGAAGGGCGTCGTGGGCTTGCTGCTTCTTTGGACAAAACTTGCTCAGCCGATCGATTTGACAGTACGAATATATGTTGAGAGAGGTAGCAATAAATTCGAGTTATCGCACTACTAATAAAACGCTGATTTCACGAACACTGAGAAAGACGGACCTCCGAGGAAAGAGTGGACTCGTAAAACAACATCCATTCGACAGCGTTTCCGTCTGAGCTTGCAAGATAAGCGACAGTTCTGCACATGGGAAAAACATCCGGAAAATTCCAAGGCTCGGGAAATAAAT